AAGGGAGAGGTCATTGGGTACGTAGATGAGCTACTGTTCCGAGATCCTGATCATTTTGTGGCAGGGGAGCTCCACAAACATGCAGCTAATTGGGCAGAAATCGCAAAATTAGCTCCTTCTTTAAACCGGGAAGAGGTGTTGTCGTGGTTTGGGAATGAGGTGTCAATATTCCCATATTTCAGACATTTTAAAGGAAAGTTTAAGGGGGAGCGTTACGATTCCGATCAGCCACCCCACAGGTTGTTCAAGAATAACCTATCGTGCAAACAGTTTGAATAATTTGTCAGAACAACGCTATTAAGTGGCCTGAAATCCGGTGCAATTTCTCTAGTGGGTAAGGTTGGTCAAGTAAGTCCACCTCATATCGTTTTACCGTTAACAGTTGAGCCTACGAAGCCGAGACTTTGTCATGATGCGCGATATCTAAACCTGTGGATGCTGGAGAAGTCCTCTTTGTTGGACAGAGTGACCGACTTACCCCGGTATGTCTTCAAGGATTCTTATCAGACGGTCCTGGACGACAAGTCAGGATATGACCATCTCTTGCTATCTGAAGAAAGTCGCACGTATTTTGGTATCATTTACATTCCTTGTATAATCCTGTGGTATGCAAATACGAAGTTTGACATTTAAGGAGAATAAAGAGTGTTTTGATCGATTACAAGTCTCTCGTCCTTTCTCTACTTATGATCTCCCCATCGTTGCCAAGTTGTTTACACCTTCCGTTAGATGTCCAGTATGATCCCATGAGAATGACCAAGATTTTAGATTCTGCCAACGTTGTGGTTATAACCGACAAATCGTGACACCGAATAATATTGACAAGACTGACATCGATCTGGAGAGCATTGACCAGCGCTTACGTCAACTAATGGACTTTGATCGTGTTACCAGCTATGCTAAACATAAGGACTCGCTAAGAACGGAGTTTGAAACCTTTCTTGCTTCACTTCCTGGCCATATCGCATTAGCCACCGTGACTCCACGGGATATTTGCCGGATCCTTGTTTTTAAAGACAAGAATGGGAAAACTCAGATTCACCGCAATGGCTGTAAGTACATCGGCCAAGCGCGACGATATACTTGTGGATGTCCTATATGTCTATCTTATAAGACGGTGGACTCTTATATTGGTAAGCTACGAGCTATTCTCCATTCTATTGGACGAGACGGCGAGTGGGACAAGCGTCTAGGCCTAGGCAACCCAGCGTTTGACAAGTCGGTCGGTGAAGGATTTTTTTGAGGCTGGTAACCACGGAACAATTACAGGCACAGGTAACTCCAAAACAGGCCACCCCTTTCTTCGTTGATAAGCTAACACAATTATGTTCACACCTAGACAGAAGATTGAGAGACTCAGACAGAGCGATTGACAGATTTGTGATAGCCCGCGATCAATCGTATATTAAACTAGTTTTCTTTAGTGGAGAGCGACCTGGGGGCTTGGGACAGATTAAGGTCCTTGAAATCCTACGTTTCCCCAACGACGACGGTTTCCTTTTCAATCACAATTGGGGAAAGACGTTAAGGGATGGGGAAGAGAATGTGTTTGGAGTGAGGAGAAATGCGCAAGCGGAAATCTGTCCTGTTCGAGGCATCGAGCGTTATATGGAGGTGACGCGTGATATAAGGGTGGATTTAACGTGCGGTTACCTATTTCGTCCAATCACACCTGATTTGGGCATGAAAGACGCCCCTTTTACTTCCTCTGCAGCTGAATCACGCTTAAAAGGTTACCTTAAGGAGATGAATGCAGATAGCGGGGAGACGCTCCATGGTTTCCGCTCCGGCTGTGCGATCAATCTAGCTCTTACAGGTGCAGATCTGGCCGAGATCATGGATCATGTTGGTTGGACTAGGCGTCACACAGCCCTATACTACATGCAGTTAGCGAAAGTCTTAAATCCGGCTGGAGCCTCTGCTCGGCTGGCCTCTAACATCGGCGCGGAACCGTCCTGTTCATGGCAAGATATTAGGGAGCTTAAGCAACGACGACGACGACGCCGAAGACGACGCCTAGTAAAAAATGTATTTATATTTTACAAGCGAAATTCGCGATTGTCTAGATCTGTTCGGTACGCCAGTGGCTCTAAAAACGTGCTTAAGCTAAGTATGCAACGACGGTGTTCAATTCCAAATGGAAAAACGAAAAATTAGCCTTCGTCGTCCACGTTTTGAGACCCCCCCATGTATATAAATTCTTGTGTTCCAAGGACACAATAATAAACACATAATCTGGGCAGCCAATCAAATGGTGAGTGTATTAATACGCAACAATTGCGTTTAACGGTGTTCTCACAGACACACTCGATATTGCAGATATTGACCAACTGCTTCGCGCTTTCAACTGTGCAACATCGAGCCAAATGCGCATGTCCGAGACAGTCTTTGTTCTTCAAATTTGAGTTGCAACGCCCACGTTTAGAATTTCTCCGGTATCTGTAACATAATGCGATTTCGAGTATTTTTATTTCCCCAAAGCTGGGATGTTAGTTCCCACCAGAGTTACCCCAGCAGTTAAATCACTGATACCAATTTATATTATACACCCGGGTGGAGAGAGGAATGGTGAGAGTAGAGAGTCTTACCCAAGAACACAACACAGTGACCCCGGTCAGGTTCGATCAGTTCTTGAACCCGGAGCCCAACACATGGCGTGAGGCCTCCGTGTCTCCCTATCCAAAAAAAGCTGTTGTCAGTGTTTAAATATTAAGGGCCTGTTTACAAGGAAGGAGGGTTACCCTAGCAAGCAGCTTACCCTAGCACTCACACATTTACTCTTTTTTACTTCGTCGTGTTTACAAGGCAGCCAGGGTTACCCGGGTAGGTGGGTTACCCTATCTGTGTGCGAGGGTTACCATAGCAGGCGGGTTAACTTTTTCCCTTGTGAACACTCCAGGTAGGGTTAACCTGCTTAACCGGGTTAACTTTCTACTTGTTTCCAGACTCTTTGAGTGTTATCGCACATTAAGTTGTCCCGGATTGTTGGGTTACCCTACCTGTGAACTTTTGCTTGTAGAACCGTGCTATCTTTTGCCCTCCAGCTAGGGTTAACCCGCTTACTGGGGTAACCCTCCCTCCTTTTAAAGAGGTCCTAATTTTCTCATGCGCCACGTCATTGCACCCTTTCGACTCTGACGGACACTAGAAGGTCTTTAACCAATGGAAATCGTTCTATTCAGCACCACGCCGTTGCCCGAGATAATTTGCGACTTTCTAGTGAAGCTTTATGATACAGTAAAACACCTACATTTTTTGGAGTCTTACAAAATAGGTTCTTGTAGTTTGGGGTAGTTATTGGTTCTTAATTAGGTTCTTAATTTCTATGAAGGAGATATAGCTGTTGATTACCGGAAAAAATAAACAAACTTGGGTTTGATCCTGGAATAAACAGTATTTATTCACAACTGTATTATGTATTTCCTTGTAATTGAAATTTGCAATCTCAAAGTCACACTCTTTGTTTAAAATGTTTATCATAATTTTATCATAATTTAACTGTAATCCACATATTATTATTATTAGTGTCATTGTGGGTGATTTTCTCTCGCAGCATCCGAGTCCAAACCATGGACTTTGGGAGGCAAAGAGGGTTTCTACTTGATGGAGAGGGCCCACTTGAGAAGGTGGGCGGTAGAAAGGAGAGTTATTTTCTGGAGTTTATGTATGTTGATGTTGCCAGGGATTTTGTTGATGTAGCTTTCCATGCCCTTCTTGATAGTACCGAGGGCTCCTATAACCACCGGGACTGTTGTTGTTTTGAGTCCCCACATTCTGTCTATCTCGATTTCCAATTCTTTGTATTTGTTAAGCTTTTCAGTGGTTTTGACTGAGGTGTTGGCGTCGAGGGGTACGGTCATATCAATGCGAACTGCCCCGCATACCCTTCGAAGAGGAGATGAATTTTTTCCACTACCTTCGCTCATACAATTCAAAACGCGCTGTGAAACCCTAAGGAAATTACGAGACAGGGATTTATCGAACACTGTTACAATAACTTTCACAATTCCCGCAAGATCGATAGGAAAACAATTTTACCGTAGAGTCGTCAATTTTCAAATTTGGCTGGGTCGGTCCGAAAAAACCCGGCACATGAGCAGAACAGTAGAATAGTAGAACAGTAGAATTGTTTCACTGAAAAAGCATGCAACTGCTTTTCTTCCATCTCAAGTGATTACAAGTTTGAAACAGGAAGGACTCCTTCGTACTCGGGGAGTGCATAGCGGTAATTTAGTGCGACTGAAAAGACAGAGAAAGCTGCGGAATGTGAAACAAAGCGTTCCCGCTATTACTCGCTTTAGGAGATTTGAACACGACCACCACACTCGACATCATGATGCATCAGTTAACGGCCCTCGTAATGTTAACAACTTGATTACAATGAAGATATCTAAGCCTGGTCCTACTCTCCCTAGAATTATTCCTAGCTGCATGGTCATCAATGCTCGCTCCTTGGTTAAACCGTATGCTGCGGCAGCACTATATACTGAATTGTGCACTAACAAGATCGATCTTTGTTTTGTCTCCGAAACTTGGCTTCATAGCAAAGTCGTTTCGAGTTTGATATGCCCTGATGGATATCTCATTGTAAGGAAAGACCGTTGTGACTTGCGAACAGGAGGGGGAGTTGCTATCATTTGCAGAAACGACTGGAAGATCAAACGCCTGGATTTCCAAAACAACTTGGAATGTGCATGGTGTGAAATTGTTACTGCCAATTTTGAATATCATGTAGCCGCTATTTACCACTCCCCTAATCCTACATATGCTGATGTGGAATTATTAGACCATCTATCTGAGAGCTGTGAACAGATCCTCTCATTTAAACCTAACGCAAGAATCATCATTGCGGGGGACATCAACCAGTTGAACATACGGGATCTT